TATAAGAATTTAAGTTGTCGGTGTATTTAGAGACGTGAGATTTTTACTCGATAATCCCGAAATACCTTGTGGTTAAATCAAGGATAAACTATGAACGGTGTTATTTTTTCAACTCAACTGACATTCATATAATGCGGTTAATGTCCTGGTATTTTCTCGAATAAAAATCTATTCAGTTGTCAGCTATATACTACTGCAGTGGTCAATCGTTTCGACTTAACTATTATTAAACTATTTAGCAATGAACTTATTTCAACAAACTACTCACCACATTGACAAAGTCCTGAAACGTTATGGCGTCGGCATGAGATTCCTTTACACGGGCAAGAAGAATTTCCCGTTTGTTCACTGGGATTTCCGCTCTCCATTCGGGACTTGTTAAAGCCTCCAGAAAATCCTCGCGTGGTATTTCTCCAAAACCCTCGGGATCGAACTTGTCGAACAGCATTCGCCATTTCTAAGAACGTCAATAAATAAACATCCATTTATTATTACTAGATTATTGACTTTTCTCACTCACTGTTGAGAAAATAAAACTTCTTGTTTGATAAACCAACTTTTTGACAAGAAAAAACAACATTATTGAAGGCTTTAGATTTATAATATAGAATAGAGGTTTGAGAAATTTGTTTTCGCCAGATAGTTGACAGCTCGAAATATTTCGGTCAGTCTTTCAGGGCAAAAATTTAATTTTCAAGCTTTACAACTATCAATTAACATTATCTACTCGAGCGGTCTATTGATTAAATTAAAGGAAAATTTTAATGTCGGTCAAATTTAAACAATTAATAAAAAAAAAATTTAATATAAGTAATACAAATAAATACAATAATTTTTTTTTCTCAATTCTGCTATTTCCCCACTTAATATTTGCAATTCATGTAATTTATTATCACTTGATTAAATTTAATATTCTATACTTTATATTTTTATGTATATTGCCGCTTGGCATTTAATAAATAAATAATAAAAATACACCCTTATTATTTCCTTATGGTTTATAAATTCTAAAAAAGTTTAAATAAATTTTAATAAAAGTTTTAAAAAAAATAAATCAGTCAATAAAACTAATAACAACCCTCTCAACTATCAAATAAATGATCAATAAATATTTATAAAAGCATTATTAAATAAAACTTACGTCATTTAAAAGTTCGCGTCGGTACTCAGACTCAGAGATATCAATTTCAGAGCCGAGATCCGTGTGATCAGTTACATAGCCATCGTATCGACCGCTGTTCGCCTCACTGTTGGCGTACTCCTCCTCCTCGACAATACCGGCAATTGTTGCTATTGAAGTAGCTCCCTGGGCTAACAGCATTACTGAAGTTCATCACCGGTCCAATGATAAATTCCGCATTTTCCTCTCTGAAATTAACCATCCTTTTCATGAGCAATCGTCATACATATTGCTTTAATTTAGGAATTCATGGGATTCCTCAGACAAAGAATTCTCAAATAAATAAATAAATTCCGACATAAAACAATATTAAATATTTCATAAATAACTAAAAATTATTGTAATAAAAATAATTGTCAAGCATTTAGAGATTTTCCGACTAGAGCAGTGTATACAAATAGTAGGCAGTTGGTCGGTTACCATGACGATGGCGCACGAGTTTGGCCATCTTCCTGCACTGCGGGGGTAAAAACACAAAAGCGAAAACGAGAGAGAAGATACTCAGCTGATAAGACTGAAAAGAGACCGCAATAACGCCTCTGACCCTTCAGCTTATCCTACTACATACATAATACACAATGTATACTACACTAGTCTTGTATGTGTTTTCTATAAACGAGATGTCCTATAGCGTAACAGACTGCCGAGACTTTCCCTGCAGCATTTCAACCCCCAAAGCTTTCTGTTTCGTCGTGGCAACCCCAACAACGAGTACCCCGATTTTCAGGCATCCTCATACACACACAGTACAGTATGACGCATTGCCGTCGTTAAATCTATTTCCTTCTTCTTCTCAGGAACCTGTACAACAACTACAACTAACATATATTTATAAACACACACATACAGCATACATAAATAAAATAATAACAGAAATAATAAAAACTAGCAATCTTGCAGTCACTATGTGACTTGTGAGCAATAAATAAATAAAATTTTGCTTCATTAAATAATGAATTCTGTTAAATTGCACTGTACTTCTTAAATATTGACGATTTTAAAAATATAAGCTCATTCCGATGTTACCCTCGTCAAGAGCTTTCATTTGAGTACCGACATGCATTTTCATATATTTTTCATATATACATATATATAAATATATGAAAAATTGGTGTAGGTACTCAAATGAAAGGTCTCGATGAGTGTAACATCAGAATGAGCTTATATCTTCAAAAATTTCAATAGTTCTCAAGATACAAGGTCGTTTCTTAATTATGTTAAATTGCACTGTACTTTCTTAACCATTGACATTTTCAAAGATATAAGCTCATCCCGATGTTACACTCATCAAGAGCTTTCATTTGAGTACCCACATGCATTTTCATATATTTTTCATATATACATATATATAAATATATGAAAAATTGATGTGGGTACTCAAATGAAAGATCTCGATGAGTGTAACATCAGGATGAGCTTATATCTTTAAAAATGTCAATAGTTCACAAGATACAATGTCATTTCTTAATTATGTATCTAGAGATAGAGAATTTTTGGAATGCAGCCTAAATAATAAATTGACTATCAGCGAGAATGATATGAAACCTTGAAAAGGCACAAATTCAAATCAAGACCTCTGCAATAACTCTAAATTTCGCTTAAAAACACCGATTTTATCATATGACTATCCTGACCATAAAATTTTTCTTCTCTCAATAACATAAATTAAAAACTGCTGGCATTTGCCCGGTTGCTCCAGACTCACCCGAATACGATTCCAAGTAAAGCGAAAGTAATTTCTCCTTCCCTTATATGCAGCTCTACAGCATCATGTATACATTTATATATACGATATACGTATTTTAGCTTCACCCCCACGTTTACGGTCTTCCACCCTCGTCACGAGGTACAGTGTGCAAAGCTAAGACTTGGGTACGAGGGCGACGACCCTCGACGCAGCTACCACTCGAGGATCATCTATCCACGTATAAACCCAGCAGAGGCGCTTAGTGATTGCCTTTCCACCACGTGTTGGCATTGCAATCTATTGACTCCTGTGATACCGATTAAAGCAGCCAGATTAATCTAAATATTTTTTACTTCAAGCATAATTACAACAGTGATAATTATAAATTATAACAACCATCAACCAGCAATTACATTGATTTAATTAGGTTTATTTCTATCAATAAACCTGGTATTTATAAGGTAATAGTAATGATTATTATGTAATCTCAACGGGGTTACCCTTTTTGCCGAGCGAATACGACCCAGATCTGATTAGTCGTTCGATACTTGGCTAGCCACGCAGTCACGCGATCTCTATAGTGTCTCTATGGTGTTATGTCGTGTGTACTATCTGTATAGTGCAGTATTAATTCAACCCTGCTATGTTCTATGTCCTCTGGATACCCTTTGCCTTACCAGACACCTGCTTTTGATACTGTTACGTACATGGAAGAGCATCCTATATATTTCTTTTCTATCCTGTCCTATCCTATGTACTTTTAGCTATCAGTATCGCATTTACTTACTTACTCCACTCGAGCTAAGCTAAATTAATCCCCAGTTTTATTTATAAATATCAGCTGGATGATAATGACAGTTAAGTCTCCAATTGCTACTTTACTAAATTATTGATTTATACTTACTAATTTATGATTACAAAAATAGAATGTTGATAAATTCTTCTTATTGATTTTTTCTTACAATTTTTTTAAAAATGACTTTAAAAAAGCCGATGAATAATGCCACTGTAAATTCTGTTTTTGTTTTAATTTTAATAAACGGAGTAGGTACAATTGTTTGAGCGGGGATTTAATATTTTATATACCTTTGCGAATATAATGTTAGCGGACGAAACAATGTTACAGAGTGTGTACTACATTTGTGTAATCTCGTGAATAAATGAAATAACAAACGAGACAAAGGCACGCTTGGACGGAAAGGTACGTTTGTATAGATGTATAAGCTACATTTGTACACAGGTATATATCAATACAAAGAGATAGCTGGAGATGCGCGGAAATGAAACTGGAAAGCTCACGCACCACGTGGAAACACTAGTGAATGACAGATCCGCGATATAGGAGACGTAACGTACCGGCAAGCGTCACACGACTACTGACGATACGTTTAACCACCCTCGCACAACTTCCGCGACCCCACCGTCCCCAATGCAAACGCCGGGAGCCCCGAGCTCGAGACATAGTATACAACCCTCGTCTTCATTTCTGATCATCATATATTTTGTAGCTCTATACCCGGTGGACTCGCTGGTGCTTGCTTTGGCTGCACTTGTATGAATACCTTTTATATAAAAACATTCACGCGGATATTTTTTTACTCCACGCCAGAAAATCCAATTTAAATTTAATTAAAAGTACATTTTTTTAATACGATTTTGTTTTTCCGGTTTTAAGTTAGAATTCTTCAGATAAAAGTAATTAAAATTTTTCTTCGGAAATTAATATGTACTCAATAATTAAAATTGATTATTTTAAGCTCCAATTTTTTTTTTTTTTTTTATTTTTTTTTTTTTTTTTTTTTTTTAAATGGAATATTTAAAATAAAAAAAATTCTTATGAAATTCTCTAGAACTTTTAAGCATTGTTAATTATTAATTGTTGGCAAGTGTTTCTTTTATTCAAGCCAGTTTATTTTTTACCACCGCGGTGTTTGGTGGCGCTACAAAGCAGGCACGACCAGTAAGTCACAATCAGCTGTTATGTATGCATCGCGTAAATAGTGTTTTGATTACCTAAAAAATAATAAAGGTAGGTTAAAATTGAATTATACAATTATTTATTGCAAAAGATTATTTATTTATTTATTATAATAATTATTAAGTAATAAATATAAATATTTACAGGGTTAAATAATGGGATCGAGGCTAGTTTATAGCCTAGTTCGTCCTGCGAATTTTGCGAGAGTTTGGAGCACAACAAACTGCCAACGGATCCACGCAGTCTGGGCTAAGAAGGATATTGATCTGGAGTACAGGTTTTCACCTGTCTCTCTGTATTCTAGTGATGTACCCAAGAAGTGTTGGCAGTGCAATTTTCCATTCAAGTCTGAAATATTCTGTAAAAAATGTGAAACAGTCCTGAAGCCACCAGAAGAGTTTGATTATTTTGAGATTCTGGGAATTGAAAGGAAATTTGATTTGGATATGACTGATGTTAGGCAAAAATATAAACAGCTCCAAAATAAACTGCATCCTGATAAGTTATTAAATAAACCTAAGGTAAATATATTTTTTTTTCATAATATATTATTTAATTAAGTAATATTAAATACTTACTTTAAAAAATGAATAATTATTTTTAGAAAGATCAGCAATACTTAAAAGATATGTCGGGATTAATAAGCAATGCTTATTATACACTATTAAATCCATTACACAGAGGGATTTATTTATTAGAACTGAACAATTTATCCGTACCCGAAGAAACAGTTCCTATAGAGCCGGAGTTTATTATGGAAATAATGGAAAGAAATGAAGTGATTGACGATGCTGGGACTGATAAAGATAAAATAATTAAAATTATGAAAGAAAACCGTGAAATACTTGCTATTTTGACAAAGTAATTCTTAAATTTAATTAAATGTTTATTTTACAAGTAAAAGACCGAGTTATTGACACTGGCCTAGTTGTTTGGCACTTGCAATTTTATTCTAATTAAAAAAAATAAAATGTTCTCAACAAAATGACACTGAAGTTAGCAGACGTCTAAAAATTTTTGATTTTTTTTATTAATTAAATTACAGCTAAAAAAATATTTCTAAAAAATTACACTCATAGTTTTTCAAGTTTTTTAAATGTGTAATTTTTTTTTAATTGTTTAATTGAAATTTTTTCAATAAAAAATTTGGAAATGTCGGCTAACTTCGTTTTCATTCAAAAAACCAATTATCTTAAAATTTATAATTAAAAAATTATGTTTATTAATTTATCAGAGTTGATTTATTTTTTTTAATTAAAATAAAATTGCAAGTGTCAAACAACTAGGCTAGTGTCAATAACTGGGTCTTATAGTTTAACTGTCTAAAAAAATTTTTTGTTGCAGCCAATTGTCGGAAGCCTTCAAAACGAACGACATTGAAAAAGCACGTTATTTTTTGGTAAAAATGAAATATTTTACCAGCATAGATGACAGATTGAAAGAACTAAAAGATAAATTAGGTATTGTAACTTAAAAATATACATATTTGCTAGATATTTTATATGAATATTTTTTTATTATCTAATGTATATAATATTAAGACATAAAAGTGTAAAATTAATGTAAATATTTATTTAATAAAAATAATTTCCTCTACACAGCATTATCTTCTTTCCATTGCTCAATCCATAGACAAACTCTATTTACATTGACCTCTATTTGCTCTTGCGTATTACTTTCTAGCTCATGGACAATTTCTTCTTTGTACGAGGACTTGGCCTCGTCAAGGATTGTTTGGAATATTTCACATTCAATGTTATCTTCTAATTTTTTTCCCTGGTACCCGCGGGCTGTCAATCGGTCGTACAAGATAGTGTTGTTCGTTCTTACAACGAACACGATATCGAACCACCTTTCTGGGAACAGCTCTGCGCTGTGGTAGTCAACGATGTTGCCTCCCTTGCCCATCATGCTCTCCATGCTGTCCAGCAACTACAAGCATCATTTATGAATCAGTTACAATAAATTAAACAAATAAAAATTGATATTGATATTAATTAGAGCAAAATCACCAACCCGGTCTTCATTTAAAATCGGACATTGATAGGTTGGATCATATTCTTCCAAGCATCTATTCTCCTCAGCTAGCTTACTGACGTCTCTCCAAACCAGGCTAGTTCTCTCGGATATTCTTCGAGCTAAAGTACTTTTACCAACTCCTGGAGTTCCTGGGGATTAAAAATGAACAGTCAAAAACGTGATTGACATTTATGGATTAAAATGAGTGAAATTGAAAATATTGAGTGATACTTTACCAGTTATGAGAATGTTTGGCAATGTCTTCTTGGTTGACGGCATCGTAGTATTTAAATTAGTTTAATTTATTTAAGTAAACAAATACTTACTTGATTAAAATATATTAAATTGTATGTTTTTTTTTTAAGCGATGAATGAATCACGTTAACACAATGTAAACAAAAATTAGAGGTTAAAACTCGACGGCAGCCATTATTGTTGTGACTTCATGGCGGGAAATTTTAATTTTGACAATTATTTTATAGAAAAAAAAATATTTTTTTTATTTTTCAAATAATTTTATAAAAAATTTGGATAGACAAAAAAAAATTTATCAAATATTTATTTAAATAATTTGAAAAAATGAAAAAAAATTGTTGAAAAAAATTTTTAATTGTTAAACAAAATGGCGCTTACCAAACTGATGATCTTGAGCTAGATGATGGACCAGGTGCTAATTATTCACTCGGATGACTAACAACTTAATAAGAAATACGATCTTTGGTTCACTTTTGAATATTAAACACTCGAAGTTTAAAGAAATATTTTCGATTCTCACGTTAAACCGACAACAATCACGCCACCTAAGCACGAAATTTTAGATCACGCATTTTTAACAATTATTATCGATTAATTTATGATAATTATTAATTTAATTTGTACTTTGACACTAAAAGAAGTTAATTAAATAAAAATTTTGGTAAGAAATAATTTAATTACTCATAAAATAAGTTTTAAACACGGAGAGCTCGCGGTTTAGGCGGTCAGTAGGAGCGCAAAAAAATAAGTGGCGTGAGATGCGCGCGCGGTTGTGCGCAGAACTCCACGGAAATTTCGGGCGCGCTGATTGGTCGGTAGAATCTTCGCGCTTTTTTGTGAACCCGCCAAATTTAAAATTCTTTTTTTTTTATTAATTATTTGAAGCAAATAAAATATAAAAATAAAAAGATTATTTTTAAATAAAAAAAATTATTAATAAAATATTCAATGTAAATTTTGTTTTTTAATTTTAAATATTGCAATAAAATAACTTAAAATTATTTTTGAAAAAAAAAAATTAATAATGAAATATTTAAATAATTAAAAAAAAAAATCATTATTGAAAAAAAAAAATGCGAAAATTAAATTGTTAAAGAAAATAGCACTTACCAAACAGAAGATTTTGAAAGAGATAAAGATCAGGTGCTAATTACCTTCGTAATTATCTTGATTTGGTTCACTAATGGCTAGATTATTAACACAAACCTTGGCTTACTTACGAATATCAGACAGTTGAAATTTAACTAAACACTTCTCGATTATCGCGATGAACCGACAACAATGACCCGGCGACACACAAAAATTTAGAACACGGATTTAACAATTATTAACGAACGATTTATGATAATTATTAGTTTTACTTATACTATACCACTAAAAGAAGTTAATTAAATATAAATTTCGGTATAAAACAATTTAATTACACATAAAATAAGTTAGAAAACACGGAGAGCTTGCGGCTTAGGTAGTCAGTAGGAGCGCCAAGAAACAAGTGACGCGAGATGCGTGTGAGGCTGTGCGCAGAACTCAACGGAAATTTCAAGCGCACTGATTGGTCGGTAGAATCTACGCGCCATTTACTGAAACGCGCTAAATTTAAAATTCTCTTTATTAAAAATTTTTTTTTCATGAAATAAATTCATTATTAATAGAAATAAAAAATAATAATAAATTATTTTTAAAAAATATAATTTTTATTGAAATATTAAACATAAAATTCTTTTTCCATTAGTCCGTTCTTTATGTTTCTTATTTGATTCTCCAGCTCTATAATTTTCTGAAAAATATATAAAAATCACATTAGTATTAACAAAATTCCTGTTAATTAATTATAATAAAATACCTGGAGAAATTGTTGCTTCTGAATATCAACCACAGCTTCATTGGAAGCCCAAGCTTCTTTATAACTCTCTTGCACCTGATTAAAAATATTATTAACTTCAGATTGTTTTTCTAAAGTAACAGAATTAGTAGATCCACTTTTCTGTCCTTCGATTTGCATTTGCAGTGTCGTGATTTCCAATTCTTTAGTCTTAAAAAAAAAAAAAATTCGTTAAATAAAACTATCTTTCATACTTCAAAAACAAAAATCTGCATCTCAAACAATAAAAAGCACCTTTAAAACTTCAAATATTTTTCTTTTAAACTGAGAACTCATTTTATGCTTTGATACCTCAACTTTTAAAAGGTTTTTCTTCAACTTTGATACTTTTTCCTCGAGATAATGTTGATGATGTTCATTAGCAAGCTGCATTTCATTTCTTATCTTCACAAATTCTTCTTTAATCGACGAATACTGATCAGTAAGTATATCTTGTAATTTATTTTCCTAAAAAATTCATTAAATTATTATTCTTAATATTAAAAAATAAATTACAAACATTTTCCAATTTAATCTGCAATTTATCCTCCATATCTTGAACTTTTCTCGCCGCAGCAAAAATTTCTTCTTTCAATTGACCAACAATTCCCATTTGAACCTGAATCTCTTGTTCCTTTTCCTTGAGCAGCGTCTCATAGTGAGATTTATTCGACTCTAACTCATCGAAATATTTTTTCTCAACACATTTAACTTCATTTAGCTTCTCGAGCTTCAGCGCTTCAACTTCTTGCGTCAGAACCGCTATCCTATCAATCAGCTGAATATTCTTGGCCTGTTCAGTCTGCAAACAGCTCTTAAATTCACTGATTTGTTCCAGCATAGTACCTTTATACTGCTCGACAATATCTCTATGATTTTTTTCCAACTCCTTTCCATCAAACTCAGCTTTCTCTAACCTTGATTTCAACTCTTCTACTTCAAATTTTTGTTTCTCGATTATTTTATTGAAGTCCGTACTCACGTCAGTGTTACATTTCTTCAACTTTTGTTTCAATCTATCATTTTGTTCATGCAATTCATTGACAACGTCCGCGAGAAATTGTATCCTTTTTTTTGAAGTAGCTAGCTGCATTTTATAAGATGATGCTTTGCATCCATTGCTTTGATCTCGGGGATATTTAATCTCTCTTGAAGAATTTCTTTCACTTTCTGAACTGCTGGTCTCAATGACACTTGAAACTGAATCAGGATTAACCTAAGAAATAAAATAATTATTTTATAAACTGTCAAAAAAAATAAAAATTAAATTAGCCAGCTGAAATTTTTTATTAAAAAAAATTCGACATCTAGAAAATTTGAAAAATTTTAAGTGCAATTTTTTAAAATTATTTTTATTGATTTGAAAAATTAAAAATGATTTATTGTCTGCTTATTTTAGTGTTATTTAAAAAAAAAAAAAAATAATTTATCAGTACTAAACCTCATCAGAATAATTAACAGACATCAAAACGGACTTTGAAGGAAACTCTTTGAATATTCCAGTCAAGCTACCAGCTTTTATCAACCGATATAATTCAAGTATATATTTATTTCTCAAAACTCGCTGGTTTTTAGCAGTTTTTAATTTTTCTAACCAAGATTCACATAAATTTATATCATCCAATGATTTAATCTTCAAAATTTGCCTTATCCGATGCAATGTTTCATTAAATTCTTCATCTAACTTAGCATCTTGCTCACTATATTTTTCCATTGACATGTCAATTCAAATGAATAATAAATTGAACATTGCAATGAATTACTTAATTTATTTTTTGACATATTAAACTTAATTATGAAAATTAATTTGACAATTTTGAGAGTTTTTATAACAAATAAATTATGGCAAAAAAATTAACATTTAGAAAATATGAAAATTAATGTAGCACATATTTAATAATCTTAAAAATTTTATAACAAATAAATTATAGCAAAAAAAAAAAATTGACATTTAGAAATTTAAAAAAACAAAAAATGCAATTTTTCAAAAATGATTTTTTGGAAAAAATCTTTTTGTTAAATAAAATTTAAAAATTTTCAAGTAACAGCTAGCTTTGAAGTTATTTAGATATTTTCAAAAATAAAAAATGCAATTTTTTAAAATTAAAAATGAATTTTTTTAGCAATTATGAAAATGAAACAAATCTGTTTATTTATAAAATTGAAAATTAAAGCTAAATTGAATGTCATTACACAATTTTTATTACTTGAAATTCTTTAACAAACAAACAAAAACAACAATGAAATAATTTTCTAAGATTTATTTATTGATATTTGTTACTTTGATGTTTTTTAATAAAACCGCGCCATTTTTCTCTTCTTAAAACTCTAGCGGTGAATATAATAACAACTTGTAGTTACCACATAATTATGATTATGTAGAAGTGTGAGAATACACATACAGTCAAACGTCAGAGTTATATTTGCACCAGGTGATGCTGATCCTAAACTTTAAAAAGTTATTTATTTCATAACAATAAACCTTTTAAATAAATGTATTTATCGTGAAATTTATAATTCTTACAAGGGATTTGAATTATCCCTAACTACTAAGGTAATTGTTTTTATATAAGTAATATTAAAATGAAAGTAAAGGGTTACAAAGTAAACTAACGATTGATAGAAAATGTCATTATGGAAGGATTGTTGAAAATACCACCAGAGATTTCACAATTGCTTGCGTTGCTTTGGATTGCTCTGTTTTCACCAGTTTCCACTCCGCGAATAAAATTTGCAATTTGTAACAAGAATAAAAAAAAAAACAAAACTCTTGAAAAAAAATTTATATTTATGCAATGAATCTGTTTATTATTAATTCAAGTGATCAATAAATCGATTAGTAATTTCCGTTTTATTTTCAGATGTCAACCGAAGAATTTGACAGTGACATGGAGTACTCGGACTCCGACTGTGGTGACAATGGTTACGAGGACTACTACAACAACCAGCACTGGGGCAGTGAAACTGACAACGACTTTGACAGTGATCACAATAAAAAGGACCCAGAGTACGCTATACACGATTGTCTGAGAGTTGAGGAAGTAGAGCGGCTGCTGAACGAGAATGTAGAGGTGCTAAGCACCAATTTGCACATAACTCCATCGCTGGCTAAAGTTTTGCTCCACACGCACAACTGGGCTCTGCAGGACGTGTTAGCTAAGTATCGTACGAATGCTTCCAGTTTGTTAGTTAATTCCAAAATAAAGTCACCCCATCCTCCGGATCCAGCTTCTGCTATGAAAGCCCAAAAGGGTGGCCAGTGTTCTGTGTGTATAACTAATTATCCGCCGGAAAAATTTGCAACTCTGACGTGTGGCCACGCTTTTTGCAAAGACTGCTGGTGTATGCATTTTGAAGTGCAAATTTTCCAAGGAATTTCTACTGGTAATAATAAAAATAATCTATGTTATTTAGAGAAAAAAAAAATATCTTGAGAACTACTGACATTTATAAAGATATAAGCTCATCATGATGTTACACTCATCGAGACCTTTCATTTGAGTACCTACATCAATTTTTCATATATTTTATATATTTATATATTTCACAAATACCATATATATAAAGTATATAAAAAATGCCATGTGGGTACTCAAATGAAAGGTCTCAATGAGCGTAACATCAGGATGAGCTTATATCTTAAAAAACATCAATATTTAAGAAATTACAGTGCAATTTAACAAAAGTCATTATATAATAA